TGGCAATCAACTCCGCCTCTACCTCAACTCTCTTCATCGATTTCAAAAAGGCTTTCGACAGCTCAGCGTTGACTGATGAGTAATTTGGAAGCCAGTTAAACACTACGGTGTGCATTTCAAAATTATTTATCAACCTCATTCAACAGCTTTATGACAGTGACATGTGCCAGGTGATGCACAACGGAAAACTCACTGAGGTGGTCGAAGTGCATACAGGCTTGAGACAAGACTGACTACCTATTATCACCGATGATATTCCTAATTGTGGTAGACCGGATTATACGGATGACTGTGCGCCGGGAACGAGTAGCCAAGAATACGCTGGACGATCGATCATTCTCCAGTCCCATCAATATACATGTATAGCAGGCTGTAACAGTGATAGGAGGAATGATTATGTTAGATGGCTGGAGGCTCTCGGCCACAGAAAATGCTGTCTGACCTTGGTCGCGTCCTGGTTGGTGTTCATCAGTCAGCAAGTCATATCTGTAGTCATCATGAAGGAACGCATGTCCCTCATCTGGGATCTCAACACACGTCACCCAATGGCGTGTAGTAGTCAGAGATGTCAGTGCGAATCACTCAGTGGTGGTCACGTCTCTGACTGCAGAACTTCCTATCGCCAATCACCCCCAAACCAACTGATAAACACAAGGTTGAATCATGAATATTATTTATAAAATAAGAAATTTCTTTATCAACTTACCGAAAATGAGCAGCAATACCAGTACAGCATACATAACTGGAGTATTCTTTCATACAAATTTTACAACTACTCACAGTTCTGTTTATAGATACCTCCTCATGGGAATCAGTAAGCAAAGTTCACACAGATCTCATGAAAACTTCAGGAGTACACAAAATCCAGTGAGAATTTCGTTCTTTTTCTCATATTTCTAAACAAGACCTGGTTTCACACTCTTTTAAACTTAACAAAAGTACACACACTTAAATTTACTCAGGTATATGTAGAGCAAAGTGAAATGGAAGCCAGTGAGTGAATGATCCAATGATGTGTTTACAGTTGTTTTAGTTATGGTAACTGAATATTCTATTCATTTGGAAGGCTCACACGTAATGTTAATTGAAAAGTGAATTGTGAAAATCATTTCTAGTGATATCAGTGAGAGTATGACTCAAGATCAAGGAGTACTGGATAGCTGTTTCTACTTTCTTTCAAATTCTTTAGAAGAGAGCACTTGTAATCCCATGGCATGGTGATTGGTTCTGCATATGGAACGGACTCAACAAGCAGCACTGACTGGGACGAATGTTATTGCAGGTCCCATCATGTCAGGATGACGGTTAGGATAGAAGTTGCTGGCGTTGTGCAGCATGTATATACATTATGCTTGGGTTCTGTGGACAAAATCTTGATGTTAATGAAGTGGGATGTAAGAATAGTAAGGCGTTTGTCTCAGATGACCAGCATACCAGCCAGTTATGCACTTAGTCGACTCTGGAGAAAGGATGTGACGGTAAGAAAATATGTTGACCCCGTAAAACGATACATCCTTACTTACCCTAGAGTGGTTCGTCGTTATCAGTAAGTTGTTAATATGAAATCAGCCATGAAAACCCATTCAAACAGGTTGTGTGTGTGACTGATGTCGAGAAGTTGTCACTTGGACTATATGGTCACATAACAGTATTTCCATTCATAATAATAATAATTTATTTTATTTCAAAACAGTACTTGTGATACAGAATGGAATTCTCAGCATTTTTACTACACTACTGCATCCAGTTTGTACATTATCAATAAATAGAATTCTACATAGATTAAGAAAATCGCAGTTCATTATGACAACAACATATTGACATGTCGGTAGAAAAACCGAAGTTGAACAGTGTTTGAAGGTGTTAGAAAAGTAGGTGCTATCATATTTACTGGCGTAAGCGAGAGAAAGAAACAAAGCAGCACATAACAGAAAACAAGAAAGAGAGAGAAAAGGAAAAGAAAGAAGGAGTAAGGGTTGGGTTAAACCAGAATGTTCTAACTTCTTGATGTAGAAGGTAAGACGGAATATTTTCTCAGAAATCGCCAATATATGAGACGACCAGGAACGATGAGCAGATAGAATGACGCCTAGGTATTTGATTTTCGACAACACCGCAACACCGCCTCCATTACTCCTATTACAACATTGTCGGTCTCGTCTAAATAGAATGAAGTCCTTTAGTGAGATGAGATTGTCATCATACAGTTCATGTAACCAAGTTTCTTGTAATGTGATTATTGCAGCATTATGATAAGTGTCAGTGGACATCAAATATTGCAGGTACATTAACTTGTTTGGCAGAGAGCGGCAATTAGTGCTCATTATGGCAGGGAACGTAGTTATGTGTATTGGTGTACGTTTGAGAGCTCTCTCCCAACCACTACAATACTTCCTCCTTGATTTCTTGAGAATATGCAGGTCATAGAGTCGTAAATGAATAAAAAGGTTGCGAGAGTAAATGATCCTGATAGAATTCATATTTAGGTGATAAATAAATAGGAGTAAACAGTAGATTGGATGCAATGTGTAGATATTATAATAGCAGGCCCAAAAATTCAAACAGCCCACCAAGGTCATTATTTAATTACCCCAGGTAAACATGTAATTCCACGGTGTGGGTAGTCAGGGAGTGACAACCATGCATACGATAGCAAAAGCTCACGAAAAGCAGCGAGATGAAACAAGTTAGAATTCATGGGCCCCTGGATTCCTTCCCACTAAGTGAATAATCAAACCTCGTCTAGTTAACTAGTTCGCTAGTTTTCTAGCCGGTCTCAAGCCCAGGTAATGAGGGAGGGATGGACGTGAGACTAAGAAGCCCACATCACTGAACCCATCAAACCAGTTGAGTAAAACTTCAACGCACAGAGAATATTCTAAAAATACAACACTTCGAAAAACATCAATCTTGTTCTTCGCTTGAATCGAAGAAGCGAAATGCCGCAGCAGGCTGGCGATATACATTAGGAAAAATCTCTCAACTTGATAACTATCTGACACATAGTGTCCGACTACTTCCACTAGACACTAGACAGTAAATATTCCCGTACACTTTGTCTTCTCTTCTCTTATAAACTGAATTCTATCAGTCCAGTTTGAAGTGTCACCATCATGCTGGGTGGATGAACATCACGGTGGGGATTGCCACCAAATATCTCACATAGACTTGACCACACTTCCAACAGTACAACTTCACATTTGAAATGCTCTTTATCCTTTGCATGCATAGAAACAATGAGTGTGTTCATAAAATCAATATGAATAAGTAGACAAATATACGAGACAATCACCAGTGGATTCGGTATAATCGAATGAATGTATATTTCAAGTTCAGCAGTCAAACACTGAGTGAACGCACTGTGTGCTAATCACATCCTTGTCAGTGTTGTCAGTATGTCACTCACATGTTTCATAATTGCATCACCAGTGAAAGGAAAGAATTACAGTTGAATGAAAATGCAGTAATTACCTGTGTCCAGAGGAGTAGATTTATTCAGAAGTTTCTCCACTTCGTACTCATCTACAAACAATAAAATTGTGCAATCACGTAGACAGATACATGTTGACATATTCAAGTGCAGACAATGATCGTATATGTAGGATTTATATTTCTTAAGTTTCACTGTTATTGGTACATGTTCGCCGCCCTATATATATCTATAGTCAACATCACGAATACTCCTTGTTTCGTGGAGGGCCATGATTTGTGCAGCGCACTGTGGTGATACAAGCGTCAACCTGTCGAATGCAGCAATCAAACATATGTTGAATGGGTTGATATCAGCGGAAGAATCATCGAAATTCTGGCTTGTATGGGATAGCCTGCTGTTCCGTACTAGGTGGAGAGTGATGTGCAGCAATCGCCCCACTGGTGTTATCTTTCAAATGACTTCTTTTTACGGTTACGCTCATCGAATGGCGCACTCATAGCAAACAAATGAATGTGGTAGAATTCAATTGTGTGTTTATGTAGCTCGATAACAGAACACTGGATGAACACAGCTCCATTTGAAATGTTCTATAGAGTCAAATTCGAGATCTGATTGCACCTCTCAAAGGCAGTGAGATAAAGGGATCTGAGCATAGCTAATGCACTAGCGATAATGAAGTCTTAGCCAATGCTTTGTATCCAATATAAACGCATCCAACCTTTGTCTTTAACACGGTCATAGGAAACAGTAATTTCACTCAATAGGGATGATAATGCTGTTGTGTTTCTTATCCGAAATTTCTGTTTATTTTGTTAATAATTCATTCTAATCCCTGTTTGTAACCATGTTTTTTCAACCCCCAACCAGACAGGATTCTGAAACATTCTCAACCATTTACTATCAACACACGAGTGTCCAGTCTGGTTGATAACTAAGTCGAAAAGAACAATTTCTTTACATTTCCTTCACGTATGCTTAGTCGAAGCTGTAGCTATACATGGACAAATACCTAAATTATGTATTGAGAAACGTTCTGTTGAACCCCTTTCTTCACCTTTGTCATAGTTATGTTGTTTTATTTCTGTTTATATTTTACCACCTCAATTCATTCCACTTCAATTCACATTCAGTATCTATTTTTATTGTTATCATTATCTTACTGCTTATTTTTCTGAACAACACTTGACCTGAAATTTTCAAATCTTTACACCAGTTCACACATTGAATAATCTCTGAGAGTTTTGTAATTCATCCACTTCAACTCTATCTCTCCCTTAGTACATCGTTTTAATTATCTTTATTCTCATCATCATGTGTGCAGTGTTGACTGAGAAATTTCCAGTGCAGCCACTTAATGCCTTCTCTTTCTGTAATAATAATACGATTGTACAGTTAGCTGGAAAATAAAATCGTTGAGAAAACAGTATTTCTTTGCTGAACAAAAAAGTGCATTCAAATCTGTGAGGTGAACTTCAGGTCAGTTGAAGTAGTTCCACTATTCCCCCCCCCTCACACACACAAAATACCGTATATATACGGTGGATGCGCAAACATTATTCAGTCATTCAGTTGGTGCTCTTAGTGAAGATGACATTCTTCGTCCCTGTTACCTTCCTGTTGCTGAACTATTTGTTGAGCTGCTTCGGTGAGTTGATGAACGCGATTGTTATTTTGTGACTACATATTTCTTTGAAAATTGGTTTGATTTGATTTTAAATAAAGAGTGTGAGACGAATTCAGGAGGTCTGTTTGGCGTGGGTGAACAGACCTCGATATGATTTCACCACCGAATGAAGTGAAGCCGGCTTTCGTGTAAAGTGTTGAAGACAATTGAGGACGTTGATATGAAGTCGTGATGAGCTTAGAAACATTTATCTCTGTGTATGGCATTTATAATTCAGTGAGTAAATGTCAGTGACGTACTTGCATTTTATGATTCGCCTTCCACTCACACATCTCATTCATGGCATACTTTTGAGCAGACATATATACATGTATGAGTTGCATGGCTTCATAAGCGTACACAATGATTCACTGTTTTGTATCTGCATGGCAATTCAAGTTGACACATTGTAAGCAGCACACAAAGTCAGACGAAGGAGTGGAAACTGGGGATCAATACTATTGTTTAATGCGTGTATTAGGACGATTGCCATTAATGGTTCGTCATCACTGAACTCCGTGGACGCTACCAAAGTCGCTTCCCAAATACTTCTCAGACTGGTACAACTTTCGTTTTTCAGTATTGGCTGAGATCAGCTACTAAAACCAGTATATCTGAGTGTCTTGTTTATACCAGCGAACCAGATAGCTTTCTACAGGTCTAATCTCCTTCATTTCAAGCGAACTGCAGTTTGTGGGAACGTGAGTTGAGATTATGAATAGTCGTCGAGGCGTATCACATTGTGGCTTCTTCTGATGGAACTGTTCAAACAATTTTGGAATACAATCAAGCGAAGTAGGGATTCTTCTGAGAGCAGTTTCATGTGGATCTTCATGCAAGTATTACATCTATACTCTGTCTCGTCTCCAATGTTTTTTATGGCTTGTCACATGCGAATCGTTGACTAACAATAGATTTCCCTGAAGTCATCTCGTTGGTGTACTCAATAAATATGCTTTTCTATTACATATCTATGCACACTCCCAATCACTATACCAGTTATTACTTCTTGACGACATTCAATCCTGAATTGTGCAACATTTTTATTCGTTTTCCAGCTGCTCATACTTCTACCTTGAATGCTACAGGTAAGTCATTTAATTCGTGTCCATTCTCATTATTGTTAAAGGCATTACCAATGTGAACATTCGCCTAAGAGAATACACGGATGCATTATTGAAAGTCAAAGCAAAACAACGTGAGCATTAACATTTTATGCTGATTCATACTCATTCTATTCTTCACTGTATCACTTGAACAAGATTTCTTACTCATTTTTGATTGTTGCCTCATCTAACAACAGTATGCTCTTCTTTTGTCCGAAGCACACATGGTGTGTCTCTGTGACTGTGTGTGTCCACATGATAAGTGAGATGATCGTCTGTGAGTAGATTTTCCAGTAGGCGTGTGTAGCAAAATGCACCTGATGTATGCAAACATCACATCATACATGGAAGAAATTTATGTCAGAATTGATAAAATTCAACATATCTGAGAAATGAATGCAGTGACATTTCCAATGATCGGATATATATAATTTGTACTGCCTAAGTTGCTTTGGTATTCGTACATGTTTTCCGGGAAATATATGTCCAGTTAATATCACGATTACTGCCTTCTTCTATGGAAGGCCGTGAATAGTGTTGTGCATTGTTGTGATAAAAGCGGTAAGCTGTTGAATGCAGCAATCAAATACACGTTGAATTTTTATCTTTCACATATCTTCCTCTCATAGTTGATGTTTACATAATGCGCGCTCGTAAAACGGCATCGAATGTAATCAAACAGCTGAAATCAGGTAAGATTTCTGATGTGTAAGGGAATTTTATTTTGGGGATTAAATTTTGCCTCGTTGCTCATGATCTGACGTGAAGTGGATGAGTATCATTTCCAAATATACGTCTCACATGGAGTATTCAAGACTTCGTACAATTCTTCCTACTGTTCAAGGTGTACGAAGCAAGAACGATGAATTGGCACCGGATTAATAAAATGATATCCTATTTTAATACTTCGAGGATTCTACTTAATGAACTACAACCTGAACAATTCATCTGGAGCATAAATCACACTCAATTTTTGAACATGATTCCTTTTTTCAAGATGACATGGTGTAATTAACAGGAACTAACAGTAACATTATTAATTTTTATTAATCTAGAAAGCTACAGACTGGATCGTTTATACGGACTGAAATGGATTAATGAACTAATATGTAAGTGGAATTTACGAATCTATTTTTTGCCATTTAATTGTTTGGTTGAGCAGGGCTTTTGCCATAATAATGTTAACTTAACCGAGTGTATTATATGGTCAGAATCAGCCTGTCAGTCAGTGAATTACTTAGTGAGTTATTTAGTTAGTTAGTGAGTGAGTTGGAAGTTGTTAGCAGATACGGCACCGTGTACCACATCATTCTGTGCAGGCTAATTACCCAAAATTACTGACTATCAAAATTTTATTGCTTAGAGCCGACTGCATGCGATGATTAGCCACGTCAATGGAGTTTAATAGACACATGCATTACTGGCAACTGACATGGCGTTATGCTACATCTCACATTGTCATCGTTCTCACTGTTTCACTAATGTCTGCACAAATCAGTCTGTTGAGAAATGCATAATAGTATTGCCCTCAGTGAGCATACATAGAAATGATGAAGTCATTGTGTTCGTTCCCTAAACAGCACTAGCGATGATGCTTTCAGTGTCAGTCGAAGGTCTTCTGGTAGAATATTGATCAGAGTCAGCAAAACATTTTCCGGAAAGTGAGATTCACTTTTACACACACACTCATGGGATGCTGGTCTCTCATCACGTCTATGTATTATAAGAAACAGATGTGACAATTGATTCCTCATTCACATACATGAGATTCACGATAATTTTCAACTTCGTTTGCAGCTTCACGTGTTTTCCAGGCGAACGAGGTGATCGACAAAGACACTAGGAAACGATATGCAGGTGATTTATTTTCTCTATGTGTATACTCATCTAACTTAACCTGTGGCTTACACAAACGAGGTTTTCGTCTTCTTCTTCTTATTCTCCTTCTTCTCTACAGTCTACACGTTAATCGCATGAGACCCTTCTTATCACGGAGCATAGTGAATTGCAATTCCACTTACAGTGTCAAGAATAAAGATGAACACTCAAATGCAAGGACGCATCTTCAAAAAATCAATGTTTTTTCATTACCATACTTTGCCTCAATCTCCCTCTCAGTAGTGAATCAGTGAATCCATTCAGTAAACACCTGGACGAGAGTCTCATTTGAAATACTGTTCACAAATAGTGTCGCAACAGTGATGTCACTGAGCCTACACTCACAACCAGCTACATAATAAACATTGAATGTTGAGTAGTGGGGACTTTGTCAGGATTTTATCATGAAGCCAACACCTGCACTTGAATATGTCACCACGTATCTTTCTACGTAAATGCACAATTTTAATGATTGTAGATCAGTACGAAGTGGAGAAACGCTTGAATAAATCTGCTCCTCTGCACGCAGGTAATTTCCGAATTTTCATTCAATGAATTTCTTACTTTCTGGCTATCGATGCAAACATGACACATGTGAGTGACATACTGATAACACTGACAAGGATGTGATTAGCACACAGTGCGTTCACTCAGTGTTTGACTGCTGAATTTGAAATATACATTCATCTGGTATATTTGTCTACTTATTCATATTGATTGCGTAAACTCACTCATTGTTTCTATGCATGCAAAGGATAAAGAGCATTTCAAATGTGAAGTTGAACTGTTGGAAGTGTGGTCAAGTCTATGTGAGATATTTGGTGGCAATCCACACAATAATGTTCAGCCACACAGCACGATTGCCACATTGTAAACTGGACTGATAGAATTCCGTTTGCACGAAAAGAGAAGACAAATCGTATGAGGTTAGTTACTGTCTAGTGTCGAGTGTAAGTAGTCAGACATTATTTGCGAGACAATTACAGAGTTGAGGGATCCTTGATAGTGCATACAAATATGTACATCATGGAGGCTAGATGAATAATGGGATGGAGCGAGTAATTAGGATTTCCTCAAATCAGCTAAAGTATGTTCTTTTTATTTGATGAATGTCAAGTAGACAGTCACTCTACATGGTTCGTTTCATTAAGTTCGCCAACATCAATCACTCGAGAAGGCAGGTACATCCAGCTGACCAGTCTATAATAGGACGAATTGTACAAGCAGGATTCCATTGCAGCATGTAAACGTTGCACATATATAAAGGCTTCCTTACAACAAGTCATTGTAATTAGCAGTTTTCCAGATTGAATTACAATAAACTAACACCTGTTGACGCATACACACTTACACCTACTATCTCTTGTAGGAAGTAAAATACTTTTGAATATAATCGAAAATAAATGGAAAGTCAGAGCAGGATTATATGCTACTGAAGGTAAGAGTGTAGAGCAGTTGAAACATTTTTCTCTCCCAAGTATGCGTCATTTCGAATTTCTCATTAGTGTAAATTAATAGAACAGTCAAGTGTTGAATGAAACTCACTGTATACGGCATCACGGGCATCCCACACACACGGCTAATTTCAGGTTCACAAGTCACATGCATGCAGAAATTAAATAATGTCAACTCTTTTGTGTAAGTCAATCAGTGAGCCATTAATTAGTGTGCCTCCAGAAAACTCTCCAACTCGGTGTCTGAGAAGCATAATACAGGTGGATTTCGTCATGAGAAACCATCTTTGCCTTGGATAATAATCGAATTCGTATTCCGAAAAGGCGTTATTGAGATGCAGAAGGTACAATGCATTGCTGGATTTTAATCCAATGTATCAGGCTAGTAAACGTCTGACGGCGATTATTTAATCTTGAATGTGAACACAATGCAACTCGACTAAAATTGAACAGTCCATATTACATCAAGTGAATCTCGTATATTCTCTTAAATTTCTTGTAGATGCTTACCTGTCTAGATCATCGACAAAGTGTTTGAAGAAAGAGGGTGAGTGTTCGAGGATCAGTTTTCACTATCTGCAACATTTTCCATGTGAACCAGCAAATTGAATGCGGTATGGAACTGATGTGGATGGAAGAAACGACACTGTTAGACAAGGCACAATGAAGAGCTATTCACGGTGTTCTTTCATTTTGCAAAAGAATGGATTGTCAGCTCATAACACGTAGCCATTACATTGATAATGATTTATCTGTCACAATGTTATCGTCATTTAGTTTTGACAACCACAGTACAACTTTGCTCGATAATGATTATCACGTTGACCCCTGTTGACTGTTCCACGGTGGCCATCCATTTGGAGCTTTGCAAATTCGCCTATGACACGACATTAATCTGAAATGATGTGAATATCCAGTATATTCTGATAACAAAGTGCAGCTCATTAGCCCGATATGATAGTTATTATTATAACTGTTCTTATGGATTCTGAGTGGAAGATTGGGCTTCAACTGCACATTTGTTCCTTTTTTCTGCACACCTGTTTAGCTGACTGGCCCACGTCTGCCCATAACCTGTCTTCTCCTCCTCGGATCGTATCCCTCATGTCACACTTAGGGTTGCGCTCAAGTTTTCGTTTCCCAGTCAGGCTCCACTTCATGTAAAGAGATGTAGAGTAGAAAGTGGCGTCGGTCAACGATTTCTCCAACCTGTGGTTAATCCATCCTACTTGGCTTGTTCCCAGACATTCTTGTTGCTAAATCTTTCTGATCAACCCACCACTTTATGTTGATTACGGATACGTCAAAAGAAGCTTTCGATAAAGATCTTCAGTGACCTCTTAGAAATGCATTTCGTGAAGCGATAGTCAAGTTTCTGACCCACACAGACTCACAAACTATCTTGGCATCGGCGCTGAAATTGACAATTTCGTCCTTTCTTCTGAGTGTAGGAGATCTCTCAGCTGGTTTAGACAACCCCTTTCGTGCCGACTATCTGTAGTGGAAATGATGCTGCTGAGATGAGTGGAAGAATTGACTCCCTTCAACTTTCTCCCCTTGATAGTGATTGGCATTACAAAATAATTACACTCCCAATCTTTCACACTCATTCAATAATTTGATCAGTAACGCTGATTATTTTCTCTCCCTGAAGACAATACATCAGAGAAAATGAATTTAGTCGCTGGGGCGAAGCGAATTCGTGACCTGGAAGGTACGTTTGCAGTTGCAGTAATCTACTTGTGTATACGCATATGCATATCTAATTTCTGATGTGGTATGGTACATTAGGTGTCAACCAATCTGTTATAACATGATGCAGAAGTTGCTCAACCAAACAAATCGTGTAGTTCATGTGGACATTATTTTGTAGTTAGTGTGATTGAATGTCTGCAAATGTCAATTTACTTCTGGTTTGAGCCAGTCAAACCTTTGACAGACCGGATGACCAGTTCATGATGCAAAGTAGCAAGGTTTAACTAATCTCAGGGTACATCCAGACAAGCGATTTATCAGGCTGACTGCATATATATAACATTATATCTGCTAATTTGCCAACATATGGTTGAGAGTGCTACTTTCAATGAACGAAGCAGAGAACGAGGCAATCAGGATGTGTCAATGAAGTCTGAAATGACGAATCATCACTTTGCGTCAATCAGCGTTACTAGTGCAAAAATCGTGAAGACCACAAAAGGATGATTCGGTCGGTCATTAAGCTGTAGCCGATGTGATGCGTCTAGTCCTCAGGTTGTTGCAGACTGCATTTTAACATCAGTCAATATTTGAAATGTGTCCACACCATAGGTTGGGTGAATCGCCATCATGATGCACGGGATCAATATTAGGTGATATTTGGAATGACAAGGACATACGATATCCCAAAAGAATCGGTGATCACGAAGAAAACTTGTCAAACGGCGGTGTTATTCAATGACAACTTGCATTGCTAGCCGCACGGTACTTGATCGACCACACACAACGAGGCGAATTGACGGATTACGAAACATATTTCCGCAGCTTCCTGCCGACTAACCCCGATCATCTAACCACAATTCGATGAACTGCATTGTAATTTGAGTGTGTAGAGACTAATCCTTGGACATCTAGAAGTCAGTGAGAAGGATTGAGACGAGAAATGAATAGACCATTTATTTTCTGTTCAAAGGCATATTTTATTCTTTGTAAACTTCTTTTGACCCCTAACAGTCAATGATCACAATTCACTGTATAATTTTTCAGAGTTTGTCTTTGTGAAGCTTTATGAAACAGGTGAAGCATACATCAATGAAGGAAGTAAGTAGAATGTAATGAGTGTGTATGAAAACAATATTCTGAAGGATTATCATAGTTAGTAACCATTCGACTGCTATGAACAGCCCTCAATGATAAATTCAATGGATCGCTAATACTCGACGACATTACCGGTATCATGAAGGACATATTTCAGATTGCGAGGCACTTCGATTAGCACATCAGTAGATCGCATGTCCCCTCAAATGTCTTTCGCGACAGTTCATTCATCACTATCGGAATTGTCTTATCACTTGATGAGTGCAGTATGCAATCTCCATGAAGTGGCTTGCAGGATTTTGATTTGATTCGAGTCTGATCATTGAAAGTCTGCGGTGACGTGACGCAGATTGACAGGAAGTGGCCGGCACTGGAATCAACATTTCGAGAGAGTGGCTGCCATGGAGATAGAATCGTTTATTCACCGAATCTGGAATTCCATCACTTTGACGACATGAAATAACCTCGTCGCGAGACGTGTTTAGCCTTGGGTAAATCGTCAACCAGTCAGAAACATTCATTCTCCTGTGAGCTAGCCGAGATTTAATGTGGCTAACACTGTTCAAATATCAGGTGTTTTCTCTTGCCAGGATGGTCCGTTCACGATTGCCTTATAATCTCGTGTTGCAATATGAATCGGACTAGCATTGAATACCATGGAGTACTGGACAACAGATGTTTTGTCTTAAACGTGATTCTTCATTCAGCCTCAAGAAACGGTTTTGATGAGAAGTGATTACACAGGCACTCACTAAACGAGGTTTGAATCCAAGAACTGCTGGTTACAATACGTGCTGATAGATCAATCAATCACCGGACCTGATGCAGTGACAAGTATAACGATTTCTGATTGTAGTTTTGTAAAAACAAAAGACAAGGGCCAGGCAACAGAACCTTTATTACAGAAAATCAACACGTATTTATAGATGTTGATGTACATTATTGTAGGTTAATGTTAGTAGAAAATACAGTCTGTTGATTGGTTTTTTCTCACACAAAGTTAACCTTGCATCTCTTGTGGCTGTGTCAGTTCATCTACATGTTAACTGTATCCGCCTGTCCATCTTGACCTTTGACCCCAATTACTGTCAACCAATTTGGCTAGCAACCATCTCTCACCACAACATGACTAATACTTGATACATAAACATTGACCTCAATTACTGTCAACCAAATGGCTAGTAGAAAGCTCTCACCACAGGTTGACCACCGACCACTGTCATTCGCGTGTATTATTCTCCACACCCGACGTCATAGATCTCAGTGTTCATTACCTATCACTGGAACTACACGTCACTTCGTCCTGTATAGAGCCAGTCACTGATGAATGTCAGATTATTTTCGTGAGTTACTTCGTAGAGACTTGATTAGCTTCAAGTTTCATCACGCTTTGATATCAGTTGGAGGCACTGACAAATGGTACACTGGATCTCTGGGATAAGGGAATAATTCGTTGGATTTCTTTGGAAGTTTCGTAATATCTTTTAGTCCCATTTGCAATCAATGCAATTGATTTGTGACAATGTGAATTCGTGACGAGTGTTCCTGACTCGAGGACAAGTGTTCAGTATAATCGTGTGTTATCAACTGACCGATGTCATTGAAAATCCTGACGTGTTTTATACGCATCATCAACTACACTGCCAAATTCAATGACAATTCTCTTTTTGAATCTTACAGAATCAAACATTAAATACGAGCTGAATGAAGCCATTTTGAAGTTTTATATGAGTAAATTATTTTGGATTTGCTTTTTGATTTTATGCTAAATTCTAATGTTCGATATTTATTAATTTGCATATTTCTGTTACTTTCACAATAAATTCATCTACCGTGTGTCCACATCAACCAGTACAGGTTGTAACGAAATGCGCAAGAAATTGCCAATTCCTGTGACGAGCGCATACGTTGAGCGACATGGAAATGATGTGCAGGAATTGAGTGTGTTTTGTCAGCTCCACGCAGTGAATTTTGGATAGATTTCGAGGTGTGGGCGTGAAATTTCGGCAGTTTTGTAGTGATTTCACGTAAATTTGAGGGAAACGTTGACCGTTTGTGTGTAATGTACGTGTTCTTGAGTATTTCAGACTAAACGGAAGAATTGACTTGACTCTGAATTAACCCAAATGATTATATTTCATGGCTTTCATGAAACACTGAAATTCGGAGTTCAATTTTTGTCAGTCATTTGAAAGAAATGTGATTGTCAGGGAAGTGTAATAACCATTCGAATCAATGACACATGATTCGTGTCGTCAGGAATTTCAGTCAAGCTTCCTGAATTATAATAGCGGGAGAACGTCAGTTTCCATCTCATCTTCTTCTCCACTTTAGGCAAATAGGTTTAGGCTGAACTGATGATTGCGATTCAGCTCGCCATCATATGAAACAACATGTTTCCTCTGCAGTCACAGCGTCAAACATTCTGTCAATTTTGTATCTCGGTGACTTCCATACCACTTTATTATTCAGAAATTTATTTTCATTTCCTGTCAGATGAACTTGTCAACAAAATAGAAGAGGTGGAGCGTGAACGACTTAATTATTTGCAAAGTAAGTCAGTCTGAAATCATAACGGTTTCAAACCTTTAGTGCTTTGTCCAGGGGAAAGAGCGAAAGTCTTAATAGACTCAGTGAATGCGGAGTTTCACACAACAGCAAAGTACGTTCCGTCTGTTTAATCTGTCTTCATTGTGAAATGGTGAAATGCATTCATTCATCCATTTATATATTCATCGCGGAATTGATTCATGAATATTTCATGACGTTGGTTGCATATCCCTCACCTGATAACGGAGAGGAATATTCTGCATGGAGTTGCAGTGAATGACTTGAGTTTGTTAGAAAGAAAATGGAGCATTTCAGTTATCAGTTACTCGACAGCATTCTTGATGGAATGAGGTCTTAACTTCAAGTTGATCTTGAGTGTTTCCTGAATGACACATTTGTGTGGTTACATCAAGTGGCAGTCATGTGTCACAGTCATCTGTCACAATCCATCAACACTCAACAGTCTGGCTTTAATTCGTGATCGGAGACGTGTGGCAGTGGGCAGTGTGAGAAAATTGTATCAAATATTCTAGAATAATGAGCTTCACAAACACTTCCTCTCCTTGATGTATAGTCAAGCTGCAATGTGCCCTGCTCTACTCTGCTCTCTGTATGGAAGGCATTCTCTTCGAGAGCCTTGTATACTTTGCTGCATAAGAGTAGGTGAACTGTGATAGATGCATATGGAGACAGTCAGATGAGTGAGATTACCTCTCACACAGACGAAGAACAACCTTTGGCTGACTGATGAGAGTCAGTTGAAGTATCGATACGAATGTCGTAATAAAGGAGTGGTATGAAACTCGGAACTCTCAATGCATACTCCACTGAGTTGTTGCACCTTTCGATAAGAGGAACATTATCAGCGCCAGACAGTAACCCTATACGGGAAGTAATATTGTATAATTTTGCACTGAATGTAAGTTACATTATTTAAGCAACAGTTCCATGTCTTAATTCAGCATCCGGACAGCATCTTGTGGTTCAAATGACATAGATACCATGGTCAAATTAGTCATTTAATTATTTAGTCCGATAACTAGTTAGTTAGTTAGTTAGTCGGTTGATGTCGATTCTGGTACTGATTTGTTCATAAAAATGGACTAGCATATGTGTGTTAATTGATCCAACTGGTGTGTGATTCTTGTCATTTTTCAGATAAACATCGTCTACCAGCAATGGATCAGCACACTGGTGGAACATATCAACTATAATTGGAGTCTTATTTAGGATATATTCGCGATTATTTAACTCTTAACTTAGTAACTCTCTCTTCGACAGAAATGTTGGCGACAATACTTTTCTCTCTGCTTCTGTAACTGAATTTCAATACAAATAAATTTGTGGGTGTGTGTCAGTTTTATAAACCGCGGGTTATTTTCTGAGCAGATATTTTGTGGTGAGAATGTGTTATTGAGTGGTAGTTTACCGAGATTTGGATGGTTACAGGCCCGCTCGCCAGGTGGTATGGGTTGGAGAATATTTAGAAAGCTGCAGAAATTACCACGTGACTTCTTACTCCTACTACGCCATCATTGGTGTTCGAACTCAGTGAGTGAATGGATAGCGAGCTCGTCATGTAACCAGAAGATGATGTGGTTGCCCTCTGTGGCTGCTTCTATCCTTAAGGTCACAAACTAGGAGGTATCAGCCATCCAGTGCTCCCTGCTGGCTTTTCCAATGCTGATGTCAGCTCATGAGTGGATCTCTGACGTGCCGAAATATTTTTTATTCCTCTAATTTTCTAGTGGGACGAAGAGCTTCGAAATAGAGGTTTGAATTTTCTGTAGCGGTGAAGATTATATTTCCAGTACAGGGTTGCTGGCCTCAAGCTCAACATTCCCACTTTATCAGTCGCACAACTGTCTTAGTGAGGTACAAGGGTGCGTCGGTCAGGGAGCAAACCCTGGACCACTTGCGTGGTCGGCGAGCACTCTACCGCTGTGCCGACATCTTTTTCACGTATACATAAATCGTTTAATCTCAAGTCATTCCACATCGCATTTTCAACATTCGCCTCCAGTCACAACACTTCTACATGTGTACTCGGTGGAATTCTGTCATACCCTCAGTATCAGATATTATGTTTGCTTGGTGAACACAGTTCTCGTGTAGTGCTGAGGAATAATGAAAGAATCTCAGATACTGAAGTTTGATGACCATACCAACATTACTTGCAGAAATGTGATTCTGCCTACTGAGGAGTAGTGACTGTTCCAAAGGATATGTGACTGCGATTCTGTCACCAGAATATTGCACAGGGTTCTACATAGTGGACATTGATTCTTCTGTCACTTATCTACCTTAATCTTGAACAAGAGGAAGACGTGTATAGTAACATGAAGCTGCGAGTTAACATAAGAACAAAACTATCGCATTCGATGTGAAAAGCGCTTGATTAATCAGTCCCTGTCACATATGACATTGACTGTAAGCTACACTTCATATTTCAGACCATTCCACAACCTCACTCGTATAAAATCAACGCATGGCGATTCATGAACTTCTTTTTCATATTCTGATTCAGTCATCTTCAATGAAATTCATCATATTCACTTGTGTTATCCACAAAGGATTAAGTCCATTCAACTGCACAACTCTCAACTCTACTGATATCAATATTATTACTACTCACTCCTTGCATTCTGAGTATAGTATTGAAGTCCAAGAGGTCACTCCTGTTCTACTGGCTTCCCTGCTCAAATTTCAGCAGGCCTTGTGACCGCCTTTCAAGATTCCATTTCTGCTTTACATGATCTCCATCATGTCATATTTGGACGCCAAACTCATCCATCCCACAACATTCAAATTCCAGTCAATTGCTTGTTGTAAGATGTTACCTGAATATCTGTTCAGGTGTAGCCCTAATCCATTTCCACTTCACCTGCAGAAGAAATTAAGGACCATAATCAACCGATTGATGAAACTACACGCTGACTGACGCGTGAAATCCTAAATCACAGAATTTGTCTGAAATACGGTACTGTATTCAACATAAAACTAGAAATATGATAAACAAACCTCAATTGTGGGGTTCTGTGACTGAATGCAGTCAGAAGCACAGTCGATGTGCGTCAATCAGACAAAACAGCAAAGCTGTGTCAAAGGCGACTCACGCGTTGACTTAAACAGTGTTCGAATGCCAGACACAGAGGACTGGGATACGAATAAACAATGTTCAACAGTGACAGATACATCAGTGAGGCATGAATGGCAGATAATCTTTAACTAAAGGTAATTCATTACTGTACATCAAATTGAGCATAAATTCAATAAGTGAGCAAGATTTGGATAGCCAACGAAGTCATCATTAGGAATTAACAAACACAACTGATACTGCCTACTAGTTCTAGGTAGAACAAATTCCAACGTCAGAGAAAGAACGACAGAGGAGAGATGGAAAAGGAATGAACAATGGATTTCGGATAGATCACATTCAGAGTCCACTCTACCTCACTCAACAGAATTGTCAGTCCACGCCATTGAATCATTCAACACTATCTGCTCAGCATTGCTATTTAGGTGGTTTGCTGAAGGTATGCAAACAAACATACGAGCCAAATGATACTCTGTAGTGTTAAGATCGTTCGTAGGTGAATGCACTGCAGCTAGCTAAGCATACACCATCGCTTCACATCTCTTATGGTTAAATACATTTCGTATTCTCAACAATCTATCAGTTATTCTGATTTGCATCCCACAGCTCATGTGTCACAATGAAGAAGCAAGCTTGGCTCGATGGAAACATACTTTGACTCAGATGCAAACATATCTTGAGCACAAAATGATGTCGCCTATCTTTTCGGGAAGTCTAAAGTCCGTTGAAAATGCTTTTGTTGATGGCCGTGCTAGGCCTATGCACCATACACAAGCAATTACTTGACATGTTTTTGATTTCGTCGTTTTGACTGATGCTCCAGTTCTCGCGGCTGAACTTTCAATTTCATTTTCACCACGAAACCAATCAGTCATGTGAACACGTGCCAACATTTCATTGTGGAAGAAAGTCAGACATTTATTGGGCCTCACAGCAGGAGTTCTTTCGAATAATCTGTAAGTGGCCCAATGTTTATTACCTTCAACTCAATATTTTCACATATGTGGCATATTGAGAGAAATGAAAGCTTGCCCTGCTTTCCTGATCCTTGCTGCTTTGATATCCTCATCAGTTTCGCCTGCCTGTAATTGATGGAGTGCTTCCTAGCTAGGTATGTTGGTAGGTAGGTGAAGGAGATTGCTTCTTTCAGACTACTCCTATTTGTGCTGACTGATTGTTGTCTGTTGTTGTTGCTGTTAGCCAGAAGTCTTCATCACCTCTGTTTTCTCGATGTTCACCCGAAGGAAGTCTTTCCTGTCTTTGATGCTTCTTCTATCGTCAACCTGTTGCTTCTCTCTTGCAGAAAATGTTATGGTTTAATATTATATTTTTGTTATTAGGGCAGCAGCAGTACATATCTCCCAGGTTCTATTCTTTTCAGCCCTCTTCAGCTGGCCACACAATTGTTCATGGGCCTTCATCTCCTGTGCATACGATTTACCCACTTAGTTTACGATTTCACTAGTCATCTCAGGAGAGGAAGGAGGGTTTAGGTGGGGTTGCTAGCGACACAACCGCGAAAAATGTATCCAACCTCCACAAGAAGTTCGAAGCTCAATATAAATTCATCATAGTTTACGAAGTATTCAGTTTTATCTTCTTTATTGGATGGTGACTAACGGTGGGATCTAGAATGAACATTTCGAAAGGTCAACACAGACTAAACACTGTGGTACAATATAACCAATCAACGGAAATTACATAACAACTGCTGCTATCCATTGCACAGATGGTGGGTGATGTCGTCCAAGTTGACAAGTGTACGGCACTCTGGCGTGTAAAACGATGGATGCTCGGTTCGTGTTATTATAGGAAAGTTGATCACTCACAGTAACTGTCAATTACATCCACCTGACGAATTGCGATTAAGGATAAAGCGTGTCTCCTTGATTCCATTGTTAATCATCATGTCTTGATGTATGTGAAATGTGAACAATTTCCAGATGTAGTGTGAGCTTGAAACTGTTAACTTGGCAGGAGTTCATACTAAATATGATACAGCTTTCCATGGCTCCATATGTTTACAAAGTCGTT